CTCTTGGCCGTCCATGGGATGTTCATTGCTCTTCTCCAACACCACAGCTCACAGGCATCAATTCTTCTTCTGTCCTCCTTATTTATTCATTGTCCAGCTCTCGAATGCATAGCTAGTTATCAGAAAGACTATGGCCTGAATCAGATTATGGCCTGAATGAGACCGTAGTCCTCAAACTAACATCATTGCTCCTCAATAATTTAGAGTGGTCCCTAATCCTTGTGCATTTCATAAAAATGTTTTGCTTTCAGGGAGCGCTGGTGGCCCGGTTGCAAGAAGCTGCACTGCAATCCCAGAGGTATGTAGTTCAAATCCACCAAATGCTCTGCTGGAGAAGGAGAGACAATCTCCTCCTGTACCAGTGAGATCCAATTTGATAGTACACACACAAAAATAATAAAATTTTTAAAAATTAAAAATTTAAAAAAAGAAAATGTTTTGCTCTGTCTTCTTGAACTGCCCTTTGAAATATCTGTTCAGCTCTCTTACCCTTTGCTCAGCATTCTTTCCCCTTGTTTTATTTTCATTTCAATGCAAGTTTCAGAGTCTCTCCTGAAAGCCATCATGGTCTTTTATTTCTTCTCCATGTCTGTATTGATCTTCAGCATTCTTCATGGACAATGACCTCGATGTCACTCCACAACTCATCCAGTCTTTGATCATTAGTGTTCAACGATTCAAATCCATTCTTAAGATTTTTTTAAATTCAGTTAGAATACATTCAAGATTCTATTTTAGTTCTACTGGATTTCTTTTCCTTTTCTTCAATATGAATTTGAACTTTCATATAACTAGCTAATGACTGGTTCCAAAGTCAGCCCCCAACCTTGTTTTGATGCTGATATTGAGCTTCTTCAATGTCTCTTTGCACAGATGTGGTCAGTCTGATATCTGTGCAGTCCATCAGGTAAAGTCATGTGTACAGTCACCACTTACATTTTTCTAAAAAAGTATTTGCAATGTATCCATTATACAAAACCTGTCATTTGGAGTCCAACTCCAACCCTGAAACAAGCCCATATTTTCCAAGGACAAATCCTTCTTCTTTCCAACTTCTGTGTTCCAGTCACTCATTATCACTAATGCATCTTATTACATGTTTGTTCAATTACAAAAAACAACAAAAGCTGTTATAAATCCTCAAATTCTTCATTTTCTGCTCTCATGGTTGGTACATATATTTGAGTAATAGTTGTATTAACAGAATTTCCTTAAATATGTATGGATAGTATTCTATCCCTCAAAGCATTGTACCTCAGAGTAGATCTTTAAATACTCCTTTTTATGATGAATGTAACATCATTCGTTTTCAGTTTATCACTTCTTGCATAGTAGATCATGTTTGTCTGATTAAAAATAGCCAATACCAGCCTGTCTCAGCTCACTGATGCCTAAGAAGTCAATCTTCATGCATTCCATTCATTCCTTACAATTTCAAATTTTCCTAGACCCATGCTTCATGCATTAGTAAGAGTACCAGAGGAATGTCTATCTGTATTTTATTGACTTTGTAAAGGCATTTGACTGTGTGGAACACAACAAATTGTGGCTGACCTTGAGGAGAATGGAAATCCCAGAACACTTGGTTATGCTTATACAAAACCTATACTTGGTCTAGGAAGCTAGTCCTCAGAACAAAGCAAGGAAACACTGCACGGTTCAAAATCAGGAAAGTAATGTGTCAAGGATGTGTCCTGTCTCCATATCGCTTCAATATTTATGCAGAAAAGGTCATTAGGGAGACTGGGTTTTATGAGGAGGAGTGTGGCATCAAGATTGGAGGAAGACTCATCAATTATCTATTAGGCAGATGACACAAACTTGCTTGCTGAAACTAAAGACCTGAAGCACTTGCTGCAGAAGGTCAAAGACTGTAGTCTTCAGTAAGGATTGAAGCTCAATATCAAGAAGACAAAGATTCTCAACAAGGAGCCAACTGGCAGCACCATGATGGAGGGAGAAAAGATGACTGAGGTTGTTAACAATTTCAGCTTGCTTGGCTCCACAATCAACACTCTTAGCACTCTTGTCAGGAAATTTTAAAAAAAGATTAATTGCATTGGGAAAATTTGCTGTCAGGGACCTCTCCAGAGTACTAAGAAGCAAAGATGTCAGTCTAGAGACTAAGGTACACCTGATCCAGGCCATGGTCTTTGCAATTACTTGCTCTGCATCAGAGAGCTGGACAATGACTAAGGATGACAGAAGAATTGATGCCTTTGAGTTGTCGTGCTGGAGAAGAGTCTTGAACATACCATGGCTCACCAAGAAAAAAAAACAAATCTGTCTTGAAGAAAGTGAAACCACATTTCTCCTTGGAGGCTAGAATTTTGACGCTCCACCTCACATACTTTGGGGATGTGGCCAAGAGTGACCAGTCCTTGGAGAAGAACATCCTGCTCAGAAGAGTGAGGGACAGCGAAGGAGAGGAAGACCCCGGATGAGATGGATTGATACAGTAACTGGGGTGATGGGAGTAGGTATGTCAGAATCAGTGAGACTGGGTCAGGATAGAGCAGGCTTCAGAGCTGCTTGCTGTACACAGGGTCGCTGGGTTGCAGACTCAATGGCACATAACAACAACATGGCTCATGCATTCCATGTTCCAGTTACTACAGGCTGTTTGCAGGTGTTTTCCTTCATTTTGAGTCTTACACGTCAGAACTAAAGGCCCTTCCCTGGGTGAGAGCTTTACTCCGTCCACGTCAGTCCAGGAGACTCTCCGTCTACATCAGTCCAGGAGACTCTGAAGGAGGAGGTAGCTCTTCCCAGGCACACGTGAGCGCCTTCCAGCCCGATGGCCTCATCTTCTGGGTCACCGTCAACAATGAGCTTCTGTTGTCTGGAGACTGTCCGAAGGGCTGTGATCTCAGAAGTGGGTGGCCAGTCCTCCTTTCAGTCTTAGTCTAGACACTCTGTTGGAACCTGGCCACCACGGGTGGACCTGCTGGTAGTGAAGTGCAGGTGGCTTGGCTTGCAACAATATGCCAGCTAGTACACTGTGGTCAACTGACAGACGTGTGGTCACAGCTCAGGACAGCAACAGCTGAAAAGGACCACATCTATGGTCACACTAAGGTTTGGTAGGTGACATAGGGTCTACACTCATGCTGTTGTTGTCATGTACTGGAAAGTAGGAGCCCACCCATGGCTGACCCTCTGGTGGGTTTTCAGAGGCAGTTAATCATGTGGGAGGAGAGTGTCCATCCTTCTCCTGCAGGGCAGCTGGTGGCCTTGAACTGCGTGCCTTCGAGGTTGCAACACAGCTTCTTGCCACTAGGCCAGTCATCTTAGTACAGCCTATAAACACACCCCTGAGTACAACAGAGCCAGCAGAGGACGCTGTGCAAGCTTCTTACACATAACAAACACCCTGGGGATGAGTTGCTGGACCTGTGGCCTTGGGAGTCCAAGTCTCAGAACACTGAAGTCCACAAAGACAACGTTCTACATCCCCTGTGGTAACAACTGAGGTCTTCAAAGTGTGTAAGCAGCCAGAACTATCGGTCTAAGATGGAACTCTGGCCAGAACAAAGAAGGGAGACACAACACAAAGATGCACCCAGACCCACACGTGGTCGTTTCAGGTGAGCAATGAGTAAGGAAGCTCAGAGAAGAACCGAGGCCTCTGAGTCTTGAATTGTGGGTCCCTGAATTGTGCTGCTGACGAAGAAGGTTGACGACACTCATGGGCCAACAACAGAACAGGCAAGACTGTCCTGGAGAAAGTGCAGCCAGGATTCGCGACAAGGGTGGGGCACAGGAAGCTGTCAGGTGAGCACCAACCCTTGGAAAGAAGATGTGATGCTTAGAAAGGTGGACTGCAGTAAAAGCCAAGAAGGCCCGTGGCCGGGAATGGTCGGGGCGCCACACCCGGCTTAGGGCTGGTGGAGAGGGTGAGCACGGCACAGGATAAGGTAGGTCCACTCTGCTCTTCCTCACGCTGCTCGGTGCTGGCGTCAACCTGACAACACAAAGAAACAACTGGATCCAGGCGGATCGTGGGAGCCTCTCCCTCTCCAGGCCCAGGGCCAGGAGAACTAGACGGAGCCTGGCTGCCACCACTGACCGTGACATCGTGCACCGAGACTAGCAGACCGCTGAGACATCTCTGAACATCACCCAGTGGCCACCCACTCCTTGGAGGAACCGATCAGAGGAGCAGCACTTACAGGGATAAGGCCCCAGGACAGGAAGGAGCAAGACAGAAGATTGGAAGAAATGAGAGTTACAGGGAAGAAGCGTGCAGGCAGGGAACCTGGTGAGTCTGTGTTTCACATCACAAAGCAAAGCACATACGAAGGACTGGTAAAAACAAATTCGCTTCGCTTGTCAAGCTGCACTCCAATCACTCACAGCAAACGGTGCTGGTCAAAGGTGTGACTGACGATCTTACAAATGGAGACTGACCAGCAGGGAGAGGGAGCGGGGTGTTAAATTCCATCCCACTCCCTTCCCCGTGTCCCCCAGGGCACCAGGTCCAGGCAGTGTCCCTCAAAGGTCCCCCTCTGCACCCAGTCCCGCCTCTCCTCAGCCCCATCCCTCAGTGTCCTGCCCAGTCCCACTCTCCCAGCTCCAGACCCCAATCCACCTCTCGTGCCCAGTCCCACCACTGCCCACAGTGCCAAACCACAAACCCCACCTCCCTTGGGCCACCTCAGGGCCCACCTGCCTGTTCAGGCCCCGCCCCTAAGGCCCCCTCAGTCCACTCCCCTGCACACAGCCCCGCCCTGCCTGTCCAGGCCCCGCCCCTGATGACCCCTCAGTCCACTCCCCTGCACACAGCCCC